GCATCAGTAACTCAGTAAAATCAGCCCTCACATTTTATGTACAATACCTCTTCTTGTGTCTATACGCAATAGAGAAACACAAAACATAGTGTGTACACTAAAAATTGCACTTCCAAGATATAAAACGTGAATTCATCTGTCACCATAAATAGGTATGAAATCTTGCTTCCAATACCTCTCAGTTTTTTTAATATAGAGAGAGAGCCAATAACCAGGTGGGGAGAAAAACAAAATAATCGCCCTACGCATTTCAACCATCATACACGGTCCTCTTCAGGGACAAACAATAAAACAAATGCACAACACACATTAATCCCTCCCATCCAAACCAATGTCTTTTATATCTGAAATTCACATCCCAACCAATCCGCCATCTTCTGTATCATGAACTGCCTCCGATTGGTCACCTCCATGTCTTGCACCTCATTCCCATACTACTCTCCAGATCCAGAAATCCTGTTTTTGCCATTTGCATTCAAAATGCTTGTTAGCAACTTGGATGTGATCCCGTTCTTGCGTTCCATATAAGAAACTTAGAAGGGATGTAAACCAAAAATAAAAACATGAACCACAAAACAAACCAACAATAGATAACAATGGGAAAAAAAACACATATAGAGAGGAGAGGGACTGGATCCATATAGATTATATGAAGAAGAAAATTAAGTTATGAACATAATAGAAATAGTAATTAAATTAACTAAAAGTATAAATATATACATAAAATAAACACAAAATATAAATAAAAATATATTAATTATTGAAGATTTGGAGAAATCGTTGGTAATCTCCAAATTTCTAAATTTAAAGGGATTATTCCTCTTTTTATTTCATATTTCCACTGGTTATGTTTGGTTATAGTGTTACTTAATTTGACCCTTTTAGTAACAAAATGAAGGTAGGGATTCCAGAAATCTACAAAAAGAACCAAATTGTATGTATATTTTTTTATTATTAGAATGTTTTTTAAACTCTGCCATTAGAATTCCAAAGGTAACCAGTCTTACTTCATTGTTCCAAACATTCCTTAAATGTATTATTTAAAACCAGGACTAGCCTTTCACAACTCTACATTCAAGTCATGGTGAGAAATGTAAAAGGACACTTAAAATATAACAAAATGGAGAAATGTTGGCAACAACACTATAAAATATAATGCTCTCACAAGGAGGGGGACTAAGTGGAGCATTAACAATAAAAAATAACGAGCATTCTGCTTATACTAACTGTGGTATACATGCAAATATGCAAATTGTTTCACTTGAACATGTAGGGAATGCTAAATTGGTGCTGCACCAAAGAATGTCCATGTATCAGTCAGATTACAGTGTTCAGATTGTCCAACAGTCCAATGTATCTCTTATTAGGCGATGGATAGTTTAATACTCCTTTTTAATTGACTATTGAAAACCAGTTCTGTAACTAACTACTTTGTCTCATTGAAGTGATTACAGGTTTGTACACCCCTGTTCATGTCAATTATGCATCTAATCGTTGAATCAATTTTAATCATTTTACTAAAGAATCAAATAGAAACAATCTCCTTTTATATAATAGCTCACTTCCGGCAGATTTTTTTTAAAAATCTATAATTAAATGTTAGTGTCAGTTGGACACAAAGCATGAGGATATGGCCATTAAATTCAAGAAATAGAGGTTATCAATCAGAGGCCCTGAACTGGAGAAGGTGACTGGGAGGATAACACCTAGTTATTTTTGTCCAAACGTAAGGACAGAAAATTACCAGACAAAGAAAATTACTTTTGTGTCATCATTTAAATTACATAACCAGGGATAAATTTCCCATTAGAAAGAGTAGGCACCTTCCTATAGTTACCTGTCCTGTAGGGAGTGTCCATTTTCAGCATTTATAATGTGCCTTTTTGGGCCTTAGATTGGCTGGTAAGGAGACATAAGTGCCAGAACCCTTGGCCAGTGTCCTTTGTTGTCCAGTCAGCTTCCTACGATAACAGACCCGCAAAAACACTGGCGTACGTATAGGGGTCGTAGCTGCAACTGTAGTGGCAAACCACCAGGGCCCCCATTCAAGGGGTCGATCGGGTGGTCCATGCTGTTAGGGCCACCCAATGGAGATGGATTTTCAGGGGGCCCGGTCAGCATTGGGCGCTTTAACAGCACGACCGGGCCCCCTGTGATGACATAACTGCTGGGAGGAAGCGACTGCCCGTCACTCCTCCCAACTATCAGAGCCGCGCAGGAGGAAGGAGAGGGAGTCAGAGTGGGAACTCCCATCAACCTGAGCCACCACTGGACCCCAGGGAAGGTCAGAAACAGGAGGGTGACTAAAATATTTTGTATATGTGTGTGTTGTTTGTATGTATGTATGTGTGTCTGTCATTGTGTATGTATGTATGTATGTGTCTTTGTATGTATGTCGTGTGTTTGTGTGTGTCTGTGTGTTTGTGTGTGTGTCTGTCTGTATGTGTGCCTGTCTGTTTGGATGTATGTGTGTCCTGTGGGTGTGTGTGTCTGTATGTGCCTCTGTGTATGTATGTGTGTGTCTGTATGTATCTGTCTGTCTGTATGTGTGTGTGTGTCTGTCAGGGGGAGGGGGGGCCATGGATCAGTTTTGCACCGGGGCCCCATGGATTGTGTGTACGTCACTGCGCAGAAACGGTTGTAGAGCTCTGTTTTTGAGGCTGGACAGGAAGTGGAAGGGATAATTTGCCAACAAACATGCTCCCACACCGGAAATGCCTTGCAGGAGGAGCACAGACAGCAATGAGTGATGAACACTGTATAACAGCTTCTGCAGTTCTACTATCAATAATAAGAGGGTGAGTAAATAACCCTTTAAACTCCATATGCCTGTACCCTAAACATTCCATTTTTCCTAACCCTAAATTCAACCCTCCCAAAACCTAAACAAACTCTTTCCTTGGACCCAAATGTAAGCACTCAAAGATTTAAATTCCCTTAGAAATGAAACACACAAGGAACCACAATACTCAATTTAACCCCACTCTAATAATTCTAAACACCCCATATAGCATAACTTTAACCCTTTTCAATCTTTTAATCTTCTTATGTAATCTAACTCAGATGTTAACCCCTTTCTAACCTCAAAGGAAACCTGTCATGTCCTTATTGATCCTAGCTCTTTTAAAAGGGGCTTAAAATTCCATCTGTACATTGTGCTAGCTGTTATGCTAGTGAGTGTATAGATTTGGAGATAAATCTATGTAAAATTTTGGCCCACTGCCCGCTTACTGCTTAAAGGAACATTATAGCATTAGAAACACAAACCTGTATTCCTGACACCATAGTGTCTTTCTAACTAGTTAAGTTACTGCCCCAACCTTTTTCTACAAAATAAAGCACATTTTCTTGCTTTTCTCCCTCTCAGAGATGCTCTCCACCCACAGGAAAGCATTTAGAAGCTAGTTACATGCACCTCAAAATGCAGCACTGAACCCATCAAATGATGTCTATGAGACCATCATGTTGAAATAGCCTAGATTCCCTCTGCTATTTGTCAGTGACAGCTACTAGAGACATCTAAACCGGGAAAGTAATCATACTGTTCCTGCAGAGCTGCAATGTTTTGCATTGTAGAGTTGGAACATGGGACGTGGTACATAGACCACTTCTTTGTTACATGTAACATGGCCTTTTGAAAAAAGCTCTGACATCAACATTGGCCTATCCAGAGAGTGAAGGCTGAAACTGTATTTTGATTTTATTGACTTTATTGGAGGATAATTTGGGTCTGCTTGAGGCATACCTTGGTGTGTTTTTATATTTTGTATTTGTCATCACTTTGAAGATTTGGGGATATGCTGGACTCCTTGTCTTCTTGTGTCTCTCTATACTGTGTTTGGAAGAACTGGAGCCTTTGCTGGACTTTGTCTTTCTTATCCATACAGATGCAGTTTTGGCTAGTATAAAAAAACAACACTAAAATCATAGAATATATATATATATATATATATATAGTTAGCCTTATTTTTTGAGACAGCTCTTATTTTGTAATATAAAAATACTATCATTATACATGTAACTAACAGGACAGACCTGTGCATTTATTTATTTATTTATAAAATATTTTACCAGGAAAGATATATTGAGATTTCTCTCGCTTTCAAGTATGTCCTGGGTCCACAAATCATTGCATTGTTCCAATTAGGGTACAATAAAATACAAAAACAATATTAATACACAATTAATAAAATTTTTTACATAGAACAGGCAGGAAATATATAATCAACCATGACAGATGCGTTCTGTTTTGAGGTATGTAGAGAGGGATCTCTTAAAGGACTTTAGGCTTAGGGAAGAGTTTAAATTGTGAGGGAGGTCGTTCCACAATTGCAGTGCTATGTAGGAGAAGTAGGATAAGGCTGCTTTCTTTTTGTATTGAGGTAGATTAAATAAAGTGTTGGTACTGGATCGGAGGTTATAGGAAGTGGGAACAGCTGAGGAAAGTATTGTGTTCAGGTGGGGTGGGAGTTTCCCAGAAAAGCTCTTAAACACAAGGCTGGAAAGATGAAGGGTGCGTCTGGATTCCAGCAACAGACAGTTTAGTTCTTTTAGCATGTCACAATGGTGAGTCCTGATATTACACTGTAGCACAAATCGGCAGAACGAGTTATACAATGTGTTGAGTTTATTAATGTGGGATTGCGATGCAGACACATATACTACATCCCCATAATCAATGATTGGCATCAGCATTTGCAGTACAATCTTTTCATTTACTGTAGGGCTTAGGCAGGATTTGTTTCTGTACAGGGCACCTAGTTTTGGATAAAGTTTAGATGCAAGCTTTTCTTTGTGCAGGCCAAAAGATAGATTGGGGTCTCACATCATACCCAAGTATTTGAAAGAGTGGACTGCGGTCAGTGTACCATTTGAATTTGTTTTGATGGATAGGTGGGAATTGTGTAATTTGTGTAATTTAGGTACTGTTCCAAACATCATTGTGACAGTTTTGTCAGTGTTCAGGAAGAGTTTGTTTTTTGCGATCCACTTTTCTACCTCTGTAAACTGGTCTTGGAGCACAGCCTCAAGCTGTGGTAGATCGGAATTGCTTGCATAGATTACCGTGTCATCTGCGTACATGTGTACATTTGAGGATTTGCAGACATTAGGCAGATCATTTATAAATAATGTAAATAGTAGGGGGCTGAGAATGGAACCTTGGGGAACATGACAGGTGCGTTCTGTTTTGAGGTATGTAGAGAGGGATCTCTTAAAGGACATGTTCCTCTCGTGACTGGGAGAGGGAGGGAGTCGCTGTCAGAAATGTACACATATTGCGAGCTACCCGATACATACGATCGAAACCAGGTTAGCGAATGATCACCCCTACTTGAGTTTGTGCGGTAGAATGTCGTGGTCTACTGTGTCAAAGGCCTTAGCAAAATCAAGGAAAATAGCTCCAGTTAGATCTCCTTGTTCCATGCTAGTTTGGATGTCATTGCAAACTTTTAAGAGGGCAGTTGTAGTGGAGTGATTCTGGTGAAAGCCCAATTGATCAGTCTTCCAGAAGGCTACCTGTTTCAAATGGCCATGGAACAGCTGATGGAGCTCTGAGTTCTATGCTGGACTGGGTATGTTTAAAAATCAGACTGTGGGAGAGAGATGTATATTAGGGTCAGATGAGCTAAGAGATGGGGGATAGGGGGGTGCATAGATGGACATTTGATTTAAGGTCATTTAAGGAAAAACAAAAGCTAAAATTGAGAATTACAGAGATAAGAGAGCGGTATTTAAGTAGGGAAATAAAACCATTAAACAAGGAACATGAAAGATATATGGGCCTGAGCTGGTTAAACTAACTTTTAACATGATGGACAAAGGCAAAGGTGATAAAATACTTTGCATGATTAGCACAGGCTATAGTTACAAAGACATGAAAATGTATACATTGAAAATAATAAAACTAAATAATAGTCACTAAATCCAAAACATACACATACAACAAAATTAACAGGGTATGTAGAAATATAATGAAATGTCAGTCTTCCAGAAGGCTCCCTGTTTCAAATGGCCATGGAACAGCTGATGGAGCTCTGAGTTCTATGCTGGACTAGGTATGTTTAAAAATCAGACTGTTTCAAATGGCCATGGAACAGCTGATGGAGCTCTGAGTACTTTGTTATCTCTCCTCTACCCATGGCAAAACTCATTACTGGTCAATTCTGCATTTGAAGAATGTGCAAAATGTTGGCTTGTTGTATGGTAGTTCTTCTTTACAGGTAAAAAGTCTCAGTGGTTGTACAAACTAGTCTTGGGCTCCTGAATGTGGAGTTTTGGAATTTGTCCAAATGTATACTTGATGGGATGGGCAGCTTCAACATGGATGCTGTCCAGGAGGTAGGAGGGTCTGGGAGGGAGGGTCTGCTGGAGATTGGCCGGATTGTGTCAGCTGACCGGAGTTCGCCGCGAACGGTTCGCGACATCACTACTCTTCAGCAGCAGACACCACAGACAAAGATCAGCAGCGAAAACAATAACGTGTGCAGATAGAAAAACATATTTTTCATTTATTACTACAGGTATATTTTCTGAAAAACACATCATTTTTACCAGGCAAAAAAATAAAATAATGGCTAGAGTTGTCAAGAAGATGCTTTAATATTATTATCCGTTTATTTTGTGGCTTCTTATCAGAGATAATTTCACATAGTCAGGCCTCAACATTATTTACTATAATAATAATGGTCATTCTATAAATGCTGCGTCTATGCAAAATTAAATTACCAAACGCGTCCGTTCTCTCAAATGCATTTCCTTGTAATGTTATCATCTATCGGGCCCAGCCAACGCAAAATCTACAATTATGGATTTATTCTTTCTTACTTTATCAAAATGTTGGTAGAATTGATCTCTTATACTGTAAACTGTCAGAATCCTTCAAGAAGACATCCATTTGTCCTTCATTTTTTTCATAAAATGGAAAGATGGTAATCAATGCCCGATAATGCAGATATATAGGGAATGGCTCACAAGAAAAATCTTTTCCATATTTAGGTAAAGTCTATCCAGTTTATGATATATCAGACAATATGTCAGTTAGCAGCTATTGTATAGCAAATGAAGCAGGGTATTTATAGCACTAATTAATGTGTGTATATTTTTAATAAATATCTGAAAAGATAGAATATGTTTATTTACTTTATTTTGCAATTTAGATGTTAAAAGATTTTTCAACCTTACAGACATAACAGTAATTAAGCTAAATTGTGTACAATACAGTCACTAATCTAGACAGTTTATATACAATTTTATTATTGGTATTTACATTAATAGTGAATCTACCAAAGTTCTTTTGCAAACCCCACACAGATAAAACAAAATGATTCCAGGTCTATTCTCCATGGGATAAAATTGCTGTCTGATTCAAATATTATTATTGTGACTGGGAAACTGCTCATTCACCAACACAAATTTCTAGAGATGCATCACATACTAAGCTTTCTTATTATTAATTATTTTACACAACAGAATTAATCCATCATACTGAATAAATTACTTTTTGGAATTCCAATCCCCTGATTTACAAAAACAAAATAGTAAGAGCTTTTACTGATGTCATTTATAGAATAGGATTTTCTAAAATAATCTAGACCAAATTCTTTTGTTGAATTCAACAATATACAGATATGACAAAATCTAAATGGCTATGCTGAAAAGTAGTTATATATTTACTTTTTTAATTAATGCAGTTATTTTAAAAGAAAGCTGTTGATAAACTAGGTTTCTTTGAGATAAATTAAATTAGCTGCATGTTGTCAATACATTAATATTTTTACAAATGCACACAGCCTGTTATTCATGTAGTAGGGGGGGTGCAAGATCTAATAAACACCTTAGACAAGTTATATCAATGGGTGCTTACTCAAAGCAGTAGGGTACAAGTTGTTCTCATCTCATTGCAGTGCATTAGTCCAGCCAAGTTTCATATAATTATTCTGGGGTATTATTAACTGTACTGTCTTCCTGGTAAGTGATGTCTATGAGAGTAATGATGCCAACAGTGTTGTGTTCAGATGATGATGCGGTTTTTGTATCCTGTAACCTCAGGTGTGCAGAGGAACACATTAACTCAGTCCTGCTGCACAACCATTAGCCACTCATTCTTCAGGTTTCTAACACCTTCATATTGGACTGTTGTGTTTCCATGCTAATTAGATGATGTTCATTTGTTATCTTGCTGGTTTTTAAATTTCAAGCTACAAAAAAGGTTAACATTAGACTAGGATTGCATGTATGAAACACATATCTGTTCACAACATCTGATTATATGCTAATGAGATCCCCTACATATGCATATAAATAATTTCAATATTTAGTAATTAAGATGCATGCCCTGGCATTATCACTTTACGATTGGTATAATACAGACTCTGTATGTATATGCAGATAAACAATTGTGTGTGGGATACACATTTCTTTTCCAGCTGACATGAACAGAGGATGATGGAACATTATCTCTGTCCTTCAAGTGCTTTCCTCCAAGGCCATAGTTGGCAAGTCTAGAACCACCGGATCCACATAGCTCACCAGTGTGAGTTCTACCATTGCCAAACACTGCCAGTGAAGGTGCTTAATGTCTCCTCTCCGGAACCTGGAAGAGAAGAGGACAAGATAACACTCAAACCATATGTAAGCACAGAACATACTTTACTCCTAGTATTTTACATCTAGAACCACATATTCAGTATAAAAAGCATCCATTACAGAGGGAGAAGAACACAGATTTTTGTAATTGCAATCTAGACTTTAACAAGACTCAAGGACATCAAATGAATAATTTAATAGGCCCATGATATCTATGGCTGTTAATACAAAAGAAGCCAAAAATCTTACAGTTAGGCGATTACCAATTTTTGCCAGACAATGTAAAAACATCTTTTTTGAAATTAAATGTAACTAACAGTCATCATTTGTCAGTTATGAATGAAAAATATAATTGTTCTGGGCAGCTCTTAGTTTTTAAATAATTAATCATATAGAATAACAACATTAACTTTATTATCCCTCTTATGATAATAATTATTGAATATAAATTTGGAACATTGGCTTTTTTGTTAGAACTAAGGTGCCAAGTTTGTCAATTGAACCTATTATTCATTCGCTTTTTTCCTGGGACTGCAATAGCCGCACAAGATCTTACATCTAATCTACAGACACATTCATTCATCCAATTGGGTAACCTGATAGCTACATTCCTCCTGGAATTAAGCAGACAATTGCTCAAGAGACCCTTCTCAGCACATTTTCAGCCAAGGAGACTTCCATTATCTCTCTGCGCCCTGATCTGCGGTTCCATTTTTGGCAGTCAGAGACCCTAATCTAATGAATAGCCAGGCACAGACTATCTGTAGAAGAGAACCAGCCGGATCCACCCGGATCCATTACACCTCCCCCACAACACAGCAAGAGCACAAATCTGGGAGATTTTAATGGACCAAAAACCTATTTGATGAACAACAATGTTTTACTTGTTCATCTCCAATATGATTTTTAATGATTAGGAGTCAGCGTGGGTATAACTGATTCCGATAAAACTGTTGGGGATTGGTGATGGAATATGGCTGCATATTTATTTATTTATAAAATATTTTTACCAGGATGGATACATTGAGATTTCTCTCATTTCATATGCTTAACTTATTAGTATTATTAGTGTTATCTATGAATTCTCACTCAGTGCTTTATATTTGCTTCTCATTTAAAGTCA